AAGACAGATCGTGTCAGCTGACTCGGGTTTACGTACCGGTAGGTTTACGTTCTTGACTAATTTCAGCTTAAATCTCAGTATATCCAGTAAAAAAACTGTGGTGAAGTCCTTTATGGGGACAAAGTTTCCAGAGGTGAAATTTTAGGTAGCACACAATTTCTTACACGCATGGTTGCTTTGCAGCACTCATGACAGAAACTTAAGAAATATTTGAAAAAAAATTCATATAGTACATTAATTTTGAAAGAAATACCATATAATGTATGTACTCTGGTTAATAATATCAAAAAATGTATTAGAACCACTGTTTAATGTTATATTTGATACAAATTAATATTGCTGCCCCGAACGCTCTGCGCCTTGCCTCTGAATAATAGGTTTACTTAAAATTACATCCCTGGTCCTTGTTCTTTCTGTATCGCATCGTGGTGAATTCACATTTCTCAGGAATTTGACAACAAAACAAAACAAAGCGAGTATTTTATTTGCTAATTTTTGCGATTTCTATTGTTTAATGTAAATTTGTCTTTTTAGGATATGTCGAGCCAACAAAGAAGGCGCAGTTGGAAAATTTAGTAATTAGTAATGAAGTAGCAGGCATATTTGGAAAATTATGCCGATAAACAGGATGGAATTTGGGAAAGTAAGTGCATGGTTGCAGCATATCTATGTATAAAAAGTATTTAATTAAATTGTTTATAGAAATGTTATAAATCGAGTGGCTCATTTACGATGTGCTCCAAACATTTGGCGAACTTTTTTTCGCCTTTTCAACGTGCTAAGTAACAAGTTAAGATGACTGCCATCATGGGCCTGTAAGAAACCGCAAGCAAAGGGCAGACAACCTTCCAGGAAGCTGCCTCCTGTCCCCGAGCCGAAGCTGTAGTTCAGCAAGAGCAGGTCAGCAAATTGCTACCCTGATCAAACGTAAACTAAAGCGCTCTGCTGTGATTGCACTCCGTAAATGTGAAAACTTGGTGCATGCTGAGAAATATCAAACAGGAAAACTCCGTGATGGACGCCGTGAGATGGAGTAACGCTGTGTGGCAAAGAAATGCGGCCAATTCGACGGGCCTGAAAAATCCAAATTGGCTTTTGTGATCCGCATCCGCGGTATCAACAAAGTTGCACAAAAAGTGCGTAGTTTTACAGTTCTGTCTTCGCCACATTAAAACGGTGTGTTCGTCAAATTGAGCAAGGCAACCATTAATATGCTACTTATGCCGAACCCCCTATATGGGGTTATCCAAATCTTAAATCAGTTTGTGAATTGATGTACAAACGTGGAATGGTCAAGCGTGTCCCAATCTCTGCTTTGTGATTGAACGCAAATTTCGCGAAGCGCACGAAATTCAGTGCGTTGATTCACTTCAAGAAAGCCCCCAACTTCCTGTTGCTATTCAAGCTCAACACATCAACCCGAGGCTGGCGCAAGAAGGCTAATCACTACGTTGAGGTTGGTGATTTCCGTAGCCGTGAGGATAAGATCAACAAATTGCTGCACAAGATGGCTTAAAGAAATTGTTGTTTTGTATTTAAGTATACAATATAATTTGGCACATCTTCAAAAGACGCCCAAGCAAAAAAAAAAAAGAAAATTAAAAAATTCCTGAAGTTGCCTTTTCACGGGTCGATTTCTGTCGACTGGAAAATTTACTTAAGATATGGACTAGCCAAAACGCTTACATTTTACGGTTGAATTGCAATTTACACGGGTAGATTTTGGTTAAACGACAAAAATCGACCGTGTAAAGGCAGCTTAAATAACGTTCAAATTAATCACCCCCTTTGAGATGGAAAATACCAATAACCATTTCATAATTTCGAAAATTATTCCATTTATATTTGTTCTTGCATTTTCCACACCACTTGTGAGGTATGCTTTTACGCGCGTTACCGATTTTTTTTTTAATGTGCTCGGTTGCCCAGGAGGCCTATTTTCACCTTTACAACTTAACTTAAACAGAATTAAAACTAAAGCATGCAATATATAAAGAAAATTAAAAGTTGTCTTACATCTAGTAAACTTAAAAAATTGCACATTAAATTCATTTTTCATTATAAAATAAAATTAAATATCACAATTCAGTTTACAAAATGTGGTCTGTTTGCACCCACAGTAAGTTCCCATGAAGTCTAGCCTAAATTCAGAATTGAAAAAAAACGAGCAAATGGGGTCGGAAACTACTAGCCCTAAAAGCATAATGTGGAAAATGTTTGAAGAGCTGCGAAATTGCTCGTTAATGATGCACCCAGGGTTGCATTTATTGCCTATGAAAATATTTCGTTAAGCGTTCCAAAATTAGCTCCGAGCAACTAAAAGTTGGTTAAGTTTAAATGAAATAGTTTTTCATTAAATATTTATTCCTGGTATTTAGTAAAAAACATCAATACTAATGTATGAAAAACAAAACATCAATGCTATTGTATGAAATGAAGTAAATAAAAATCTACGAATACATTCCATGAATATTTTGTCATAGAGCCATTATTAAATTTAGACATAACTTTGTCAGGCGTTGGTACCTACGTATATAGAATTAATGCGTTGGAGAGAGATAAATATACAAGTTCAACGCGCTAATTTAGGTATCCCTGTATGTATATACCTGTTACTCGTCTGGCATATACTCCAACTGCGAAAATAATGACAATTATAATTTATGTAGATCCCTGGATAAAAGATTGTCACAAGTTACTTTCGGTAACTCACGATTGAAGTTTGGAATGCAATTTCTCAGAAACACGACTACAGATTTTCTCCAAAGTGTCGGAGAATGCTATGTACTAGTTCATGAAATTCTTAAATTATCTTATTTTTTTTAGTTTAGTGTCAACCATTTATGAGTTTAATAAAATTTTGTCGTATACGACATTTGTCAAAAAATTTGCAGTCAGTTTTAGTGATATACGCCAAAATGTGATAACAATTTTTATAAATTAACCATACTTTTTACTAATCAGCCTAATCGTGAGTTTCGCCCGAACAAAATTTCGCCAACAATTTTTTCATCCACCTGTAGTGAACACACGCAAACGAAAAGTGACCCGGTTCTAGAAAATGAAACTCATGATAAAGCTGAATATGTCGGAAACTAAAGAAGAACAGATAACTCTATTTGGAAGATCTTGATTAGTTTAGTACGACAGCAATATTAACGCAATTTGTACCAAATAAGCGAAAAAATTTTAGTCAATTAGTCGGAAACTAAAGAAGATATCCAAAAACCACAAATTGTCAAAATGACGCTTCCGGCAATTTTCCATCCAGGCGACGATATTTGAATAGGTTTGTATAGTTACCAATAGTCAGTACTAATTTGTACTGGAACCTGCAAACTTTACTGGAAAAGTGTATGATAACCCAAAAAATTTGCAAGAGAGCACTGAATCGAGAGCGTAACAACACGAGAGAGCTGCAAATTCTTGCTAGTGAAATATTTACTAGCAGAAATTAGCTAGCAGAAGAAGAAGAAGAATAAATGTCAAAAGTATATATAAAAGTGGTGTTACTAGCTCAGTTGATTTTGTGTATGTGTTTCGCCGCACGGCTTCTGATATCAAATTGAAAAATTTTGTTTGAATTTCTACACACACTTACAGGTTTTGACAGTTTATGCCGCCACAGCAAAAACAAAATTCATGTAAATTTTTGTTTTTGTACTCCTGCTATCACCTTATATTGAATCGCCTTGGCACAAACAAAAGTAAAATGAGTGGAAATCATAATATTAATGATGTACTGGACAGTGTAAGCACGGTGCAGCGAACAAAGGTGGCGCCGTCAGTGGTACCGCTACTTTGGTTTTGCCGATTTTGACAGTTGTGGTAACTTGTAAATAAACCTTTGTTTACAAATCAGCGAAAGAGAAATATGAATTATTAGTGAAAAATCAGTTTAAAATGTGTTAATTTGTAATTTGTGAGCAATTTTTGAGTTGAAGACTGCGTAAAAACTAATACAATGAAGTGCTGTGTGTTTAAGTGCGACAGCCGCCAAGATGCAAGAAGCGTAGATGCAAGTGTAGCGCTGGGACGAACCGCTGCATTTTGTGTACATATGGCACGGCAAAGCCATTCCCGAAATGTTTCTCTATTATTATATTAACAGCATTTCCTCGCAATGATTTTGTTTCTGCTCCACGCAGCCTCCATTAGCAAGTAATCAGTCCCGCAGAGAGATGCTGCTGCAGTTTTCTGCAGCAGCCTTAATTGCAAAGCAAGAAAGTGCACTAAAACATTTGCTGAAGCAGGCTCAATTGCAAAGCAATGGAGTGCACTAATATGTTCACTGTTCTCTAATAGATTAGAAGACAAATGCAATATTTTCGCATTTAGCAAAATTAAAACACGTTTTTCGCAGTAAAGTGAACCGCTTTGGCAGTTTCAACTCGGTCTTCTTTTCGCTCTATTCTTTGTTTACTTGTGGTACACAAATGTCAACGCCCAGGACGGCGCAATCTTGTATTCTATCATTCTTGCAGTGTAAGTGCTTGTGTGTAAAGCAAAGAGTTTAAAACTGATTTATAAATAGTAAGATGTTTACAGCAGATTGTCAAAGCAGTGCAACAACTGTTCTCTTGCAAGTTTTTGCTAGTTTTGTGTTCAATAACCTCTTCTGCTAGTTTTCTCTTCTTCTCAATTTTACGCTCTATTTTGCTTTTACGCTCTCGCTGCAATGTTTTACTGGAGAAGTTACTATACAAACGTAATGTTACTCGCATATTTTCGAGCCTGTATGTAAATTTTCGGAAAAAAGGTTAAAAAGTATATTCATCTGCTGAAAAGATATTTTCGCAGATTCACAATTTATTTAAAATAAATCTATCAGCCCTATCTCCAATTACATGTGAATAAATCTCTCCAGTGCTTCAATAATTTTCACCACATTAAATAGCTGCACAACACCCTAATTGCCGAAAAAGCGTTGCTTGCAACACTAGTCCCTTATGGGGACCAAACTTGGTGAAAAAAATAGCTAAGTTTGTTTACTGGATATACTGAGATCTCACTATATTTCTCGAGTTTTTAATTTATTGGATTAACACACTTGCAGCAAATGAGCGATATGTGCATGCACAAATGCCTTGGTTCTGATGAATGTGCTTACAAAGCCAATAAATTACAGCAGTAGAAACTTCTGAAGAAATAATAAAACTGTAAATAACGAACCAGTGGAGCTCTTAATACAGCAACAGGAAAAGTTGGTTGTTAACTTGTGGGGGCCCTAGATTTCAGATTGACGGATCACTGCCGTAAATTCAACTGTAGCATTTTTAACTGAAATCGTTGCATAACAATGTCAACCGCGACTCGTAGTACCAATGCTAATACATCAGTTGGCCAACCAAACAGCTATCTATACCACCAATGCCTTCAATCCGAAAGTCAAAATGAACAACATTCGACGGTTGATGCCAGTAATTTTCCGCTTAGATCCATAAAAGACGTGGTGGGCTTTTTTCGTCGATCCACGGAGGATGGATTCTCGGGGAAAGCAATTGAGCCTGATCTTACATTGCTTTCTATAGTAGCAGGTTATGTAGAGATCTCCTTAACTACAGGCGATGCTGCCTTAGCTGCTGAACACGCGCTGTTAAATGCAACATTGAATACGACTATTTCTCCACCTCCCCTTGCGGGCGGAGCAGGAAGCGCAGGGATATCAGGTATTTTGCGCCTAGATTGCAGTTCTAAGTATTTTAATTTTTGGTTTTTTACTTATTTAGCGTCGAATCGCGTTATAAAAAGCAACAGTGTGCCTTTTCCTGTTGTTACATACGAACTGGTTTCGGGATTATACAAAAAATTTCAAAGCATACTATCCGTAGTAGAAAAGCCGAAGTCAATGCAAAATCGCCAAGCAACTCGCGAAGTTATTAAAAAAGTCTCGGATGTCATTTGGCATTCTTTAATAAGAAGTAGTTACAAAGATCGTGCTCATTTACAAAATCTTTATTGTTATTTATCCGGCAATAAATTGGACTGCTTCGGTGTAGCTCTCGCAGTTGTCGCAGGCTGCCAAATGCTTGGATATCGTGATGTACATTTGGCTATATCGGAAGACCACGCGTGGGTTGTATTTGGATCTACACATGATGAATGTATTGAGGTTACATGGCATGGTAAAGGTAGTGAAGATAAACGTGGTCAGGATATAACCGCAGGGATTGAATCCGGCTCTTGGTTGTATTTGGGTGGTTTGGCAGTAGTATGTGACAGGGCTATGGAAGTTGCCGCTATTGCCACTGCGATAAATATATCCATGACAACTAATAGTGATTGTGTTGAAGTAGCAGATTTGCAACAACAGTTACTTTGGGTGCTGTACGATAAGGGTCATTTAAAAAAGTTTCCCATGGCTTTAGGTAAGTACGATATTCCAAACTAGGGAAATGTATCTGTATATGTGGCGATGCAAGCTTGCAGTTAAAGCTAAACCCAATAAAACGCTTGCTTCGCTTTGCGCAAAGACTGCGACATAGATCGTTGCAGCTGCAGCGCGAAGCGAAAAGATGGCCAACTGCCTCTTCTTGCGCGCGTTGACAATCAGCCGATTTAATTGATATTTTGTTTCGTCCAAATTCAAGTTTTCACGCAGAAACATAAAATTTAGGGAGTGTCTACTTACACGCGCCACGGTAACTTTTACCGTGGATCACGGAGAAAAATTACCGTAGGTCCACGGTAAAATTACCGTAGATCCACGGTCCTGCGTCAAGTTAGTATTGGAAAAGTTAACTACGGCATTAATTGTAGTGTTTTTGTTGTTAATTTGTTGTGGAAAGAAAAAAATTTCGAGCTCTCATTTTGTAAGAAAAAATGGTATGTAGGCTAACTTGACACCATACACCTAGTCGATAGAATTGAGATATCCAATATGTTACTATGCATTAATTGTAGCTTTTAACTTTAAAATTTTTGTTGTAAAAAGAAAAAATTTTAAGCTTTCGTTTTTCTGGAAAAATTGAGTTGACCCTTTTTCGAACATAATTTGGTATGTAGTGCTAACTTTACACCATGCATCATTGACGACAGAATTGAGATAGCACCAGAAACGACAACATCGTTCTAGGTGGTCGTCCGCCACCCATCAACATCGACGAAGCCGAACTGCCTAGAGAGACCAGGTGCACCCTATCACAACTCCGTTCTGGGTGGTGCCACTGATTAAACAGCTATCTTTCCCGGCTGAACCCAGAAGTGGCAGACACATGCCCTGCATGCGGGCAAGGTCCACACAACACCCAACACCTCTTCGCATGCGCCTCTAACCCCACGACCCTGACACCAGAAGCACTATGGACCGCGCCTATAGACGCCGCCCGCTTTCTCGGCCTCAGGCTTGTCGAAGGGACGAAGACGACCCTTGCCGAACCCCGGGGGGTTGAGTACTGCTGCTACCACAACAACAACAGAATTGAGATATTGAAAAGGTTACAACGGAATTAATTGTAGATTTTTAGTTGTAAATTTGTTGTGGAAAGAAAAAATTTGTAGCTTTCGTTTTTTAAGAAAAAATAGTATGTAGTGTTAACTTGACACCATACACCTAGTCGATAGATTTGAGATATTGAAAATGTTATAACGGCATTAATTGTAGCTTTTTTGTTGTAAATTTGTTGTGGAAAGAAAAAATTGTAGCTCTCGTTTTTTAAGAAAAAATGGTATGTAGTGCTAACTTGACACCATACACCTAGTCGATAGAATTGAGATATCCAATATGTTACTATGCGATTAATTGTAGCTTTTAACTTTAAAATTTGTTGAGGAAAGAAAAAATTTGTAGCTCTCGTTTTTTAGGAAATAAAATTATAGTTTCAAAAACTAAAACCTCCCTATTATAATTGCCATTCGTACTGTCATCAGGTATGTAACTTGAGAATAGAAATCGCTGCATCTTTTAGGCGCATCAATATTACATAGTTACATCCCGAGCTAATAAAAGGAAGGTAAAAATGGTATGTAGTGCTAACTTGACACCATACACCTAGTCGATAGAATGGAGATGTCCAATATGTTACTATGCCACTAATTGTAGTTTTTAGCTTTAAAATTTGTTGTGAGAAGAAAAAATTTGTAGCTTTCGTTTTTCTGGAAAAAAATGAGTTGACCCTTTTTCGAACAAAATTTAGTATGTAGTGCTAACTTGACAGCATGCACCATTGACGACAGAATTGTGATATTGAAAAGGTTACAACTGAATTAATTGTAGCTTTTTTGTTGTAAATTTGTTGAAAAGAAAAAATTTGTAGCTCTCATTTAAAAAAAAAAATGGTATGTAGTGCTAACATGACACCATACACCTAGTCGATAGAATGGAGATATCCAATATGTTACTATGCCACTAATTGTAACTTTTAGCTTTAAAAAACTGTAACTTTTAGCTTCAAAAAAGCTGCAATTAATGCCGTTATAACATTTTCAATATCTCAATTCTATCGACTAGGTGCATGGTGTCAAGTTAGCACTACATACTATTTTTTCTTAAAATACGAAAGCTACAAATTTTTTCTTTTCACAACAAATTTACAACAAAAAAACTAAAATTAGTTCCGTTGTAACCTTTTCAATATCTCAATTCTGTTGTTGTTGTTGTTGCTGTAGCGGCTACAACAACCCCGCCCAGGACGGTTGGTATCTCAGTCGTGGTCGTCAAGTTCCACTAACGGCAACCCTAGGAAGCGTGCAGCTTCTGTAGGGTTGGTCCACAGGGGCAAGGCCGTTAGGGTTGTCGGGTTTTCCGGGCATGCGAAGAGATGTTTCGAGTCATGTGGGGTCTCTCCGCATGCCGGACACTCATTCGGCACATCCTCATTCAATCTACTCAGGTAGGAGTTTAACCTGCTGCAGTAGCCGGAGCGAAGTTGTGCTAGTGTTGTGCGAGTCTCCCGAGGCAGATGAAGCTCCGTCTCGTCTGTGTCCGGGGGTGGTATGCCTAGAACGGCATTCACAGGTCTGGAGTCTACATAACTCGAGACTGACTCCCTGTGAATGCCGTTCAGGGCCTGTCGGTAAGCTGTCGGGTCCAGAGGTTGCTTGATGAACCTCTGGACTTCGTCCGTCAGTTCATATAGATGCCTCCTGACGTGCCTAGGCGAGGGCTCCTCTGCAAGCAGCTGTCTGTTTGGGTGGCCACTTCTGTGGCTCCCGATCAGGAACTGCTTGCAGAGCATTATATTGTGCTCCTTTACGGGGAGCATTTGCGCCTCGCCGTGAAGATGGTGTTCGGGCGACATCAGGCATCCTGTCGCTGTCCTGAGTGCGGTGTTCTGTGCAGTCTGTAGCTTCGTCCTACTAGTCCCCGGCGACCACACTGGCGCTGCGTAGTTCAAAACCGGCCGGCCTATTGCCTTGTATGTTGCCAGCAACGTTTCTTTGTCTTTGCCCCAAGTACTGCCGGCTAGCGACTTGAGGACGTTGTTGCGGCTCTGTACTTTATTGACAATAGCGGTTGCGTGCGCAGAGAAGGAGAGCAGGCTGTCGAATGTTACTCCGAGTATTTTGGGGTTATTCACCGTCGGAATTGGTGTGTCATCGTCGTGAATCCCCAGCGGTAGCCTGACCTCCTTCGTCCAGGTTGTGAACAGGGTCGCGGAGGATTTCGTAGGGGGGAGGGACACTTTGCAGTGAAGAAGCGAGAAAGTTCGGAGAGATACCCGTTTACTTTCTGTAGTTGATTCCAAAGATTTTTTTTTAAATATTTTTATTAAAAGTTAACAAAACTTAATTTATTTTTATGTTGTTAGCAATTCGAGAAAAGTTTGAATAATGAAAATTTTCTATTTGATTGACGAACCACAAAAATCACGTACATCTAAAATTTCCAAAATTACAAAGTTGAAATGAACACAGTACAATAAAAGGTAACAACACAAATACAAACCCTACAATACTCCCCCTTCTAGAGAATTAATGTTATATAAATTAAAAGTAACTCGTTTCTTATTTGATGTTGTGTTATTCATTGTATTAGTGTTTGTTTCTGGTATTAGTTCTGTTTCAATGACTGCTGGTTTTAGTCTGTCTATCGGAATTGTTTTAACCTCATTATCTACTTCAAGTTTGAAATATTTTTTGTTTTTTTCAACAACCTTATAAGGTCCTTCGTATGGTTGTTGCAATGATCTTTTATTAATAACACGCATAAAAACAAATTTACAAGTCTCCAAATCCTTTGTTATATATACACCAGTATCAGAATTTTGATTATGCCTTAAATTTGATTTAACATTTTTAAAATGTTCCCGTAAATTGCCTAAAACTTCAATTGGGGAACATTTTTCTTCAGATGGAACCACAAGTTCACCGGGTAGGCGTAAATTTTGCCCAAAAACCATCTCAGATGATGTGGCTGAAATACTTTCTTTATACATCGATCGTAAACCAAGAAGTATTATCGGCAGCTCATCATACCAATTGTTGATTCCATTTCTAGCCATTATCGTAGCTTTTAACTGCCTGTGAAACCGTTCTACCAAACCATTCCCTTGAGGATAATATGCAGAAGTTGTAACGTGATGACTACCAAGCAATTTTGTTAGTTCCGAAAACAATTTTGACATAAACTGAGTACCCTGATCTGTAGTGATTTTTAACGGTACCCCAAAACGTGAAACATATTCTCTAAAAAGTTTATTTGCAACCACTGCCGCTGAAATGTCCTTTAATGCATATGCCTCGGGCCAACGCGTGAACCTGTCAACTATTGTAAAAATGTAACGATGTCCTTTCGATACAGGAAGAGGTCCAACAATATCTAAATGAATATGATCAAATCTACTTTTGGGAATCGGAATTTTAATTACTGGAGATTTAGTGTGACGATTAACCTTCGATTTTTGACAATTTATACATTCTTTTGAGCAAATATTAATTTCTTTGTGCATTTTTGGCCAATAGTACTTTTTAATAATTATACGACGTGTAGCTTTTGTACCAGGATGTGTAATGCCATGTAACATATTAAACACTGTCTTGCGTAAACAATTTGGAACAAATGGCCTAGGATTCTCACCTGTCATTTCACACCAAATATTAAAATTTAAAAGTGGAATTTGAATTAATTTAAGGTTATGTGATGTGTCTCCAGATTTTAATGTGTTTAGTTCCTCGTCCTGTTCTTGTTCATTTTGTAAAACTTTGAAATTCAGTTCTGTACCCTTAATTGCATCAACTTCGAAAGCTCGAGATAATGTGTCAGCTATAATGTTCTCCTGTCCTTTAATATATCGTATGTCACTAGTAAATTGTGCAATGAATTCCATATGTCTAGTTTGTCTCGGACTACGTTCGGCTTTTGAACTCAAAGCATATATCAAAGGCTTGTGATCTGTAAAAACTGTAAATTGTCGTCCTTCTAAAAGATAGCGAAAATGTTTAATGTTCAAATAAATAGCTAGCAACTCCCTGTCAAATGCACTGTACTTAACCTCGGATGGAGAAAGTTTCTTAGAAAAGAAAGCTAGTGGCTCTGATTTGTTATCAAACGTTTGATGTATGACACCACCAATTGCCGTATTAGTTGCATCCACATTTAAAGAGAGTTTGGCATCTTTGTTAAAATGATTTAACAATATCGTAGACGCAAACTTTTCTTTAATACATTCAAAGGCTTTATTTGTTGTGTCATCCCAAATTAAGGACTTGTCACGTTTCTTAGTTGTTCGATTGATTAAATCGTAGATAACTGCCGTAAACTCAGCTAATTTTGGTACATATCGATGGTAATAATTAACCATGCGTATAAATTTCTGCGCCTGTTTAATAGATTTAGGACGTTCAAAACTAC